CATGCCTGCAGCTTCTCCCAGAGCAGGACCAGGGAGCCAACTCCTGCAGCCTTGGCATCCAAAACGACTCCTTTCCGGGAAGCCGGGCAGGAAATCCTGTGGCTTCACCTGGGCGGGGCTGCCTGGGCTTGCTGGACACACTAGCGTCTGGAACGGGCTGGCCTCAGAGGTGCCACCCCTGACCCTCCCTCCAGAACCATGTCCGGCGCCTGCAGCCTCCTGGGCGATACCCCTTCGCTATTCATGACAGTTCTGGCTGGTTACTGAGCCTCCTGGTGGCCGGGCACTGTTGATCCTGTGCTTTAGGACAAGGGCCACCCCCATTCACACCTGAGGACACTGAGCTCAGAGCGAGGGGGGACGAGTGTGTAACAGGCACAGAGTCTCAGCGCTGCCCCTTCCCGGCAGTGGGGCCTCCGGCAGGGCACGCCCTCTCTCTGACCCTCAGCTTCCTCCTCTCTAAGATGGGGACAGTGATGCCTTCCTGGGGGACAGGGACACGACTCTGAGGTTTAAACAGGTTGCCATGGAAAGCACCTGGCCCGGTGCCTCTCACAGTGCAGAGGCTCAGGGAAGCTTAGTTTAAATAAAAAGAGGAGCCAGCTGGCGGCGTGGCTCCGTGGTTGAGCGTTGCTAAGAACCAGGAGGTCACCGTTCGATTCCGGTCAGGGCACAGGCCCGGGTTGCGGGCTCCATCCCCAGTGTGGCGAGTGCAGGAGGCAGCTGATCCATGATTCTCTCTCATCATTAATGTTTCTCTCTCTCTCCCTCTCCCTTCCTCTCTGAAATCAAGAAAAAGTACACATGGCTATGAAAAGAGGAAACTTGGGGTGTGGACCTGTGTCTGCAAGAGTTTGGGGTCACGGTCTCGGGGTGGCTGGGCCCAGGTCAGACTCTCCTCAGGGGCCCTTCCTCTCCCCCTCGAGGTGTTCTTTGCAGCCTAGGATAGGCAAGGGCAGGGCGCTCTCCTGACCCCGCACAGCTGGGCCGAGATGGCTTTTCGGGCAGTCCCCACACTGCCGGGCCCCTGCCAGGCCTCCCCTAGCCCAGGGGCACCCCACGCAGCTGCCCCAGGACCCACCTGAGAAGGCTGTGGGCCGGAGCATCATCCGCCGCATGGCGCTGCCTGACCACCTGGGCTCCACGAAGCCAGAGGAGCCTGCAACTGAGGGACAAGTAGGGATGAGAGCCCTGCTGGCCTGGCCATTCTTGTTTGGTCAGAGCCCCTGCCCCACCTGCCCCTCGAGCCCCAGCAGGGATCTCTACTCCCCTTAGTGCAGAGGTAGACAGAGGCCCAGAGAGGTGGGGCAGTTTACACCTGGGTCACACGGCATGAACAAGGCTGCCAGCTGATGGGGCTGGGGAGAGGGGCCTGGCAATGGGTAGGGGCCATGGGAGAGGCTGGGAGCTCCCCAATCACCCCGACGAGCTGCCTGTGTTAAAAGCTTAGCGGTAACAGATGCGAGGTTGGGTCCCAGTCCTGTCACTTGCTGACCTTGTGTGACTTGTTCTCTCTGAGACTATTTTCCCATCTGTAAAATGGGGCCATAAGGCCACTCTATCTCCCAGGCTGGTGCGAGGGCCAAGGCCGGCGATGTGGGCACAGGGCCCGCACACCAATAAATGGCAGCGGCGACATTGCTGTCCACCCTCTCCCTGCCCCACTTGGTAAGAAGACACTGAAGGGAATCCAGACCCGGTTTAAAATGAAAAACAGAGGGAGGCTGGCTGCCTGGGAGGGCATGGGAGGCCCGTTCCCGGAGCCCACCCCTGTCACCACCCCCACCAGGAGCAGGCTGCCTGGCTGGTCTGGTTTTGGGGGGCCTGGTTTTCTCCACAGCTGGAGGGATGGGCTGGCCAAACCGGGTTGGGCGGGCGGGGGTGCAGCTGGAGGGGCTCTGGAGCCAGCAGGGCAACTGCTCCCCTCTGCCCCCCGGGCCTGCCTTTTAAGGCCGCGGAGTGTTGTCTGGGGGGAGACAAGATCCAAATAAGGCGCAGCCCTGGCAGCTCAGAGCCAGGCTGTGGGCTGGTGCAGGGAGTGAGAGGCGCCAGGAACTCAAACCAGACGGGTCCCTCCGGCCAGACCCCAGCAGGGAGGCTGCCAGACCCAGCTGGGTCCCACCACGGCCTGAGCCGAGGCTGGGCCTGCGTCACCAGCACTCCCTCCCCAGGGACCTGTGACTTGCCCCGGAGCAGGGGGTAAAGCTCACCCAGGATGGAGGAAGGAGGGTTGGCGGCCTAGGACGGGGGCAGGGAGTGGAGGCTCTGTGGGCAGGAGGGGGGTGCCATGGCCAGCACTCAGTGTTTTACGTAGCCCAGCTCAATCCCACAAGGTAGGTAATAATCATAATGTCACAGCTCACACGGACTCAGCATTCACGCGGGCCTGGCCCATTCTGAGCACTTCACGTGGACAGTCTGAGCTCGTTGTCCTCAATGCCCTGTGAGTGGGTGCTTATCTCACCTCCACTTTACAGATGGGGAAACTGCAGCCAGGGGAGCCTGCCCTGTCGCCCCTGGTGACACAGCTCTATGGCCCCAAGGTCATGTCACAGACCGCGGGGGGCGGTCACCATCAGGGGAAACGGCTGGGGAGCCCGCCCAAGCCTGGCTGTCAGAGGAAGGGAGGGCCCGGGATGGGCCAGCGATGTCCCATGCATCCTCACTCCCACTCCCAGGCCCAGCAGAGAGAGCAGTTTTCCGGAATTTCCAGGCCTGGGCTTCTCTTTCCTCAGCTCCCACCCCGTGGGAGAGGAGAGGCCGGCCCTTCCCAGCCCATCAGATATCACGCAGAGCCCACCTGGGCCCCTGCACCCTCTGCAGGGTTTTCACTGCTTCGTTTCACCCTCACAACATCCCTGGGAGGCAGACTCTCTTATCCTGACCGTGTCACAGGTGAGACCCTGAGGCTCGGGGCCGGGGCGCCCGGGCTGCTGCAAGAGCAGCCTGGTACCCGTTAGCGGAGGCGCCCTGCCCTCGGAGCGGGCGAGACGGTGCTGCTTGAATGGCAGTCTCCCGCCCCCTGCACGGGCCCTTGCACAACCGCTTGCACAATGCTCGGGGAGTCCCCGGCCCAAGGCCACACAGCTGGTGTGTGGTGGCGCTGGCCTGGCCCAGGAAGCCCGGGATAACCCCGTCCCCAGGCTGGGGCCTGAAGGCCCTGCAGAGGGAGCTGGCAGCCGTCAGGGCTGGCCTGGCCCATCCCGTCGTGTACCCCTGTCTCACGGGGGCCAGAGCTCCCAGCCCTTAGCCTGGTGCCTGGATGCACGGCCTCCAGCTGCTGGACACAAGGGTGTGGGTGCTACCCCCACCTTGGCTCTGCCCTCCATGATGGTCCCACAGGCCTGAGAAGATCTGCCCTTGAGAGGGGAGCCAGGGACGGGGTGGCCTTCGTCTGGGTAGGCCCTGCCTTGGCTCAGGCCCTCTAGGCCTCAGTGGCCCCCACACCCTGGGGATTTGCCCCTCCCCACCTCCAGTTCCCCCGGCCTCCTGGGCAGCAGCCCCTCCCGGCTGGCTCTCCTCCTGGTCCCTGGGTCCCGCCTCCCCCTCTTCCTCCCCGCAGGGAGGGGAGGGTGCTGCTCCTGGCTCCCCTCACGCTTCCCTTCCTGGCCTCCCACACGGGCCTTGTGGCTGCCTCTCCCTCTCCATACAGGACCCCCACGGGCCTCTGCTGCCCCCTCTGTGACCCGGGGCTGCCGTGGGTCCCATGTGTGACGCCTGTCAGTCTTTCAGGAAGCACCTCTGGATGGTGACTTCCGTTAGCATCACGGACCCTGTGATGCGGAGCGCCGTGTCTCACACGCCGGTGTTTCTGGCATCAGAACGCGTCCCGCAGCTGATGTTCACATTCACACGCCGCCCTGGGGCCCGAAGGCCTTTCCACGAGGTGCTCACGGGCCTGGCTCTCAGGCTGGTTCCAGGCCATTCTTGGAAACACAGCCCTTGGTACCCGAAACCTTCCTCTCCTCGGGTTCAGCCAGGCGGCAGGGGTGGGAGTGGCCTGGACCACTTAGCAGAGGGGCAGGTGCCCATGTGGCCAGGCTGCCTCCTCCGTGCCCCTGGGGGTGCTCTGCCCCAGCCACCCTCATGGCATGCAGAGAAGGGGGTGGGGCGAGCCTGGCACACACTCCACACGGGAGGCACCCGTCTGAGCCCTCCCATCCCCGAGGCCCTCTGGGGAGCCAGGCCGACCGGGGTCCCATCCTGACGACCCCTCAGGAGCCGTGGGCCCACCGCCTTCCTGAGCCTCAGTTTCCCCCAGCAGGAAGGGCATGACCGTCCCCACCGTGCTGACCCACTGACCTCAGGGGCCCTTTGCTTCCATGACCTGTTCCCACAGCCGTGGGCAGCTCTGGGTGCTCCCATGTTTGGAAGAAAGGCTCGGGGTGGTGTGACTGCAGACACGAGCTACGCAGCATGTATTACGTTTCTCCAGGGGCCCTGAGAGCCTCCCCCGAGGCAGGCGGTCAACCCCCGTGGGACAGCGGGCACCAACTATATCCGAGCCAGGCCTCGCTGGCAGCTCTGTGCGGGGGACCACAGCGGGCACGGCACCGGACACTGCGGTGTCTACGACTGAGCAACAGTGTACTGCTCCCTCCCAAGCACCTGGGGGAAGCATGAGGCCCGAACCGGGGGGCAGTCCTACCTTCCTCGCAGCTGGCCCCCGAGTGGCCGGGGCAGCACCTCCACTCCCGGGCGGTCACTGTCTTGTACATCACCTTGTATGTGGGTCTCACCACGGTTCTGTAGCTGAAAGAATGCCGACAGGGCCCTCTGCTGTTTCCCCCACTGTCTGGCCCCCAGGGTCTTCTGTCTCTCCCAGGCCCTGTTGGAGCCTCTCTCCTGCGTTCTAGGATTCAACCCTTCTATTCCTTCCCAACCGTCCAGCCTTGGGGATCTGGATACCAACTGGACAGGCAGCCCCTGCACGTGGGCCGCCTGTCCCTAGCAGTGAATGCTCCCTGAGTGAAGGCGTGTGGGTGAATGGTGGAACCCCTCCTCCAGGAAGCCCTCCAGGGTGCCCCACGAACACAAAGGGAGGTACTGAGAATGGGCATAGGGCTCCCTTTGCTCCACCCACCCTGGGGCCCCAGCCTTCCCCTGCACACCCACTGCACTCCCACCACCAGGCCTCTGCCCATGCTGTGCCTCCACCTGGATGCCATCCGCTCGGTCTCACTCACCTGTTGCCCGGGCAGCTCATGGGCCAGGGGCAGTTCTGCAGCACTCGCTGAAGGTACGTGCCGTTCTGCACGTGGCATGAGATGGTGCGGGTCACCACGTATGAGCACCAGTTCCTGAAACAGACCCACAGGGAGGACGCTGGGTGCCGTGCGCAGCCAGGCCCCTGCCCGGGACCCCAGGAGGGTGAGTGAGGAGCACTGTGTTCTCTCCAGGATCCCCGAGTTCTCAGCGCCCTCTGGGCCCCGTGGGAGTCTGTGTTGCTGTGGCTGAGGAGTGGATCCCACAGCCCTAGAGGGGTGGCCGTGCTGGGGGCTCTCGGGGAATGAACTTCAGGGGACAAGATGGGAGCAGGCATCTTTGAAGGGCCTCTCCCTTCTCAGCATCTCTTCTCTCCAATCCTGACCCGTCCAGGCCCCCAGTGCTTCCTGCCTCCTGCCTCCCACCTGGATGACAGCAGCGGCCCCTCCATCCTGCCCTTCAGCCTCCCCCCGCCCCCCTCCCTCCAGAGGGAGTATCATAAAATGGAAACCTGGGCTGGCCTACCCCCACCCTCAGCCCTCTAGGTCTTAGATCCCTCACCTCCAGGCCTTTGCTCATGTTGGGCCCACTGCCCCGAGCTCCCTTCCCCCACCTCCCACCCTCACAGCTGCTGTGCTGTCACCTCCCCCTGTCCTTTCCCACCTCCACCTCCATCTGAGCAGAACGGATGGTTCCCTGCCCCGCAGCCCTTGGTAGCTTGTCACGCTGAGTTAAGCTGGTGATTCACCTCTGCCCGCTCCTCCCTGGCATGGGAGAGGAGAGGCCCCGTCTCCCTTATCCTTGTGCCCCGCTGCGCGCCAGGCGGGAGGTACACCGTCCCAGGCATGGAGAACTGACCTCTCCAGAGGCTAACTCATCATCCTATTGCACTGCATATATTGAGCACCTTCTGTATGCTAAGGATATTGACATCCTTTTCCCACAGTGATCCAGGAAGGCACCCCCCGCCCATTATACAGAGGGGTACCCTTGAGGCTCGGGGAGGGGGGAAAATTGTCCATGTCCCAGAGCCGGTGCAGGGTGGAGCGGATTTGAAGCCAGGAATCTGGACGGCCCAGCTTGGCCCTAACTCCATCTCCAAGGCCTCAGTTCCTATCTCCTCTCCGGTCCACGGCTCTGTGAAGGCCCAGCCTGGGAACCTGCTGACCCCGGGGCTTCGGGTCACAAAGGAAAGTCTGGTGGGGTGTGTGTGTGTGGGGGGGCGGGGCTCAGGCTGAGAAGGGTCACTGAAACGGTCCCTCCCTTCCTGGCCCCGGCAAAAAACGCAGGGTCCCTGACCCGGTGCAGGGCTGGGGCCACTGAGCGCCGGGAATGTCCCAGCCCCGGCAGAGGTGCCTGCCCCACTGAAATCCACCCCGTAACCGCTGCCCCGCCCCCACCCAGGCCCACCTGGAGGAGAGAGGCCTCGGCCAGGGCCAGTCTACTACCCTGGGGAAGTCCCTTCACCGTCTGTGTCACCTGGAATCAGTCCAGGAGGAGGGAACAGCTTAGCCGAAGGCATGGAGGTGGGAGAGCAGGGAGAAGGGGCGGCGGGAGCCCAGCAGAGCCATGGCCAGCCACTCCCCGGGAGGGGGGACAGGCGCTGGTCGCAGTGCACACCTGGGAGCAGCCTGAACAGGACCACGAGACACGGCTGCTGTGGGAGAGCCCGAGGCCTCGTGTACAGACCACTAGGCCTGTGCAGACCGCAGAGAAAGACTGCACTTCTATGCACCAAGAAGGGAAGGGAAAGCAAAACACTATTTACCCACGGACGCACAGGAATGGCTTTGTGCACATCAAGTCAGGCCAAGTCACACGCCCCCATCAAACGGCCACCTCTGGGGGCACAGAGGGGCTTTCCCTGGGTCCCCTCTCCTGTGCTCACAGCAGCCACACGCCCGAGTATAAGGCCCGCTTTACAGGTGGGAAGACTGAGGCTCCGGGGTCTGGGACGTGCCCTAGGCACCCGTGATGAGTGACACATCATGGTTGGAACTCAGGTCTGTCTGACTCCAGAGCTGGTGGTCTTAACCTTACGCTGGAAATGTTTTTCCCAACGAGCAGATGGGGGTTTTATAAGTTTAAGGAGGTACCTTTCCAAAAGGCTCCCCACCCTTAGAGCCTTTGGGTCCCTAGAGCTGTGGCTTTAAACTGTTGGGGTTGTGTTTGGGGGGAACATAAGCCCCTTTGGGAAAGTGATGTGAGGTGTGGCTCCTCCCCAGAAAAATGCACGAAATGTGGGGTACACGTTCAAGGGGGCTCAGGGGCTCTGGGCAGCCGGTGAAGTGCCCCAGGCTAGCCCAGGGGCCTTGTGAGTGAAGGAAGAAGGGAGAGAGGGAGCACCCTGAGCAGAAGACAGAGGCTCCAGACACAGGAGGGGGCCCCAGGCACAGAATGAGTACCACATGCCAGTGGACAGACACGTATGCATCATACATACAGGCAAACACAGATGCACACATCAGTATGCACACGCAGTGAGCATAAGACATATACGGATGCACATGCACACAGACGCACTCACATATGCTTATGTGCATACAACTCCCATGTACATACACACAGACCCACATAGGACACACATATACACACACTCGAGCACACAGTCAGACCAAAGCAAATCCTACAAAAAGGACTATCCTCTTTGCATGAGGGCCCACACCTGCAGAGACAGGACCTGGACCGCACCGGGGCAGATGGCCTGTGACTGCCCACCGCTGCCCGAGCTGCCCTCTGTGGGGAGCTACAGGAAACAATTTTTTCCTTCTCCTTCCTTAATCAGGATCTCCCCCTGTGGGTTGCTGCATGCCCCCCCTGGGCTATTTCCCACGGGCTGGAGTTTGCTTGAATTTTCTGCTTAGGAGACATGGAGCTGGTGCCCCGCTAGCGAGACAGTTTAGAGAGAAGGGGACACTCGGGCCAGATGGGGTGCAAGGTCAGTCCTTCATCCCCTCTCTCTGGGGCGTCACCAATAACCATGCCTCACCCCGCCCCGGCCTTGAAGACCCAGCCCCACTGTCCCCGGGATGAGCCCGAGCTCCCCTCCAGGGTCCCAGCCTGGCCCCGCTGCCCTCCGGCCCCTCCGTCCACGTTCCAGGCAGCAGAAGCTCTTTGTAAAGCACAGACCTGAGTCCCCACCCACTGTGGCTCCCACGGCCCGCGAGCCCTGCCTGCTCCCCTCTCCCCACTCCCGCGGCCCCTCTTTGACCTTCCTGCCCCCCCTCCCCTCTGCTGCACCTCAGATCTGTGTACACTCCTGCTCTCCGGCAAACCCCTATTCATCACTGGGGTCTCAGTCCTGAGGACCCCAGCAGAGTTGGGCACCTCCGCAGCAGCCCTGA